TTTTTTTTTGCAAGTAAACAAAACATTGCCACGCAAATCAAGTGAACAGTGTGAAAAGTTTGACAGCCATGTGTCTACTGCTCAGAGGTTACCCGCACACATATTTAAGCAGACGTTTTGCGCACCCACAGAGCTTATGTGCTTGTGTGAGTATTATGTACATATATTTACATATTTGTGTAGATTTGCTAGAGTTCAGTACTTGGCACAGCCTAGGGGCAAAGTGATGGCAGTGTTGAAACCTTAATGGAAAAACTTTTTCTACAAGTTGGTATTTAAACACAGACTGTTCAGAGCTTCTTCTTTTCTGTTTGTGTATTTGTTTTCGTACTTATTTATGTACATATCTATCTTTAACACATGTATAATAGATATATTTACTAACAACGTACCAACTTGTTTTATCTATATATAGTAATGTTGTTTTATTTGCAGTTTTTTGCCCACACAACCAAAACTGTGATTGTGAACCCAACAACTTTGTTTTTTTTTTATTATATTAGCTTGCATCACAGCTGTATGTATAAGTATATATGTATGTTTATGAATGAGAAATAGAATATACCCACTTAAAGGAGGATCTCTTTATGTGTGGAATAACCTAGTACTCGCTTTGGCCTGATTCCGGAGCAATAAGTGAGATTTGTTAAATTTGACCTCCTTTATAACTCACTTAGGAGTCCAAAGGGAGATCTCCTAAAGAACGCTCCCCCTTAATGTCAAAGAAGTCACACACAGCAATACCCTTTGCCCTTACTAACCAATTAGATTGCAAGTTCTTTCAGCAAATTTTCTATTCTGAACAAAATATTTTGGCATATCTTAGGAACTTTTTATTATAGACAAGAGTTCGATCGACACATAAACAAATTTAGACAGTTGTGGCACACTCACCTAACCGATTTTAACTTATACTTTGAACCTTGCAACATTGGGTAAAAATATGGAAACTCAGTTTTCAAACTCGGCAATGTAAAACAGAACAGCAAAAAACTAAATAAATAATAAATATAAAATTACTACAGAAAAAAAAAATTGTGAAAGGTTCTTTTGACCAGACTAGGTCTCCTATATGTTTTTAGGCTCGCTGAACACGAATCTGAAGCCCGCTTTTCTCCATCATGTAAAATTTTTTTCTAATCTCAAAAAACATAGCGAACTTTAGGTGACACAATTTTTTTATAAATATTGACGCATTCAGATTTTCAAAATTTAAAAAGGCGAATCAAATATCGCGGTCAAATAGGAAAACTTAGCCAAATTTTAATAATCCAGAATCTTTATTTTATTATTTTCCTTTTAATTTAATCTATGACTGAACTCTTATTATAATATATTTTCTGTTGAAAAATACCCAACAGATATAGCGATTTTGAAAATATACTTAATTATGCATAATTATCAAAATCAAAAGTTCTATAGATATGCCCATATACATACCTCCCATATATTAATAAGTTAAATTCATTTGGATACTTGTTTCATAACTATTGAATATGTAATATTTTCCTCTCCAATTTGACAGGCATATGAAATTTTCTACAGCGTTGATTTTGAAAACTTATCAGCGAGCAGTCAAAGCCATAAACTTCAGCCCACCGATGAAATTTTAGCGCCAAATGCTTCAAATGAGTTCAAAGCAACTGATAAACTGATTTTACTTCACCACCAGCTCCCAAGGCAACGCTGCAGCTGACTTTAACTGTGATTATTTTTTAGCTATAAATGTAAGTATTGAATTTAGTATGCAACTACAACTAAGTATTCGTTAGTTGTATATTTTTTTGGAAGCGCTAAAAATTAAATTTTAGTTTACAACATAACTCTTCTAAGACAAGTTGTATAATTCTACACTATAAATGCGAAAACATCCTTCTATTACTAAAATATTCAATTAAAAATATATATACTTATAATATGTACATCATATTTGTGACGTCAAAATTTAGAATGTACAGACGTTATTTACGCAATCAATTTCTATAAAAGTGCCTCAAGTTGTTTGTATTTCTAAGTTTGTGTGCCTTTTGCAATTCACGGGTTTCTTAAGCCATGCTCAGACATTACTTACGCCTTCCAAGAAATATGATATTATTTAATTTCAATAACTTTTGTTGGTTTTACATTCTCCCATCGTAGACATTCTTGCTGCTGACGCTGTTGTCGATGATGACTTGTGCCACCTATCAAGTATTGCGTATTGTATTGAAATTGTTATTGCTGCTACTTCTCGCTTCATTCTATACTGGCTTCTCAATGTACCTGTATACGCGCAAGGATATTCGCTTCATGCTGGAGTGAGTATCAATTTCAATCTGTGTGTTTGTTATTGCTGTACATACTTCTTTTTTAGTGAACTTTATTAAAATAACTACAATTTTTTTTTATTTTATGAACAAGTTGTTTCAGTTGCAGGTTTCTCAGTCATATTTCAGTACTTTTTTTTAATATAGCTTTTCGTGTGAAAAGGCGTTAAATTTAGGTTGTAAGTGTGACGGGGAAACCAGCCATGTTTTAGGTAGCAACTATCTAGGCCTATTTTTTCAAATACTTGTAGCCTCATTCCGACGGTTGAGTGGAAAATCGACCTATCTCGGCAGCCAGTCCGAAAACGCCCTATCTCAGAAAAATTTTCAAGAACGCCCAATCCCAGCTGCGGATTCAAAAATGCCCTATCTCAACATATTTTTAATATATTCTCAGTTAAGATAGGGCGTCTTCGAACTGGCTGCCGCGATAGGTCCATATCACACGCAGCCTTCGATATCTTTATGCTTTGTTTGAGAAAAGGCAAAACTGAATCAATCGGTTTTTAACGTTAATGAACTTAATTAAAAAATTTGGAATGTAGTAACTCATAGATTTCAAAAATCAATATACTTATGAAATTACGGTTGAAATGTAGTAATACTGCATTATTAGCTTTACTCTCTCACGTCGGGATTTTTTTAAAACTTTGAAATTTGAAAGAAATTATTAACTCCAAAAATGATAAAAAAAAATAGTATAATAACTGTATGGTTACCACCTGAAAGGGAAAATTCTTTAGAATTAAAAGAGGATAAACTTTTCTTGTTCACAAGAACGAACGAGTATTTAAAATGTCCTTTTAATGGATTTTTTATTCTAAACTAATAAAGTTAGAAGGACGAAATTCGAGGATGTAGTCATGTGTATATTATGATACAATTTTTTCATAAATCAATATCGATAACCTTTAAAGCACATTCTCAATACCTATTCGCCTTTGTGCACCAAAATTTTTAACTTTTTCCAATTCTAGAGAATCTTTTTTCTGTCCTTTGATGGCTATATTTTATTCTAAATTGCACTGGATTTTCTAAATATTTTACTGAATTAATCACATCTTTGAAATTTCAAAGGCCTTGGCCTTGGCATGGCACCGACAACTTGCGCCTACATACACTGGCGGCAAAAATAATAGACTCAGCGTACTGTGAAGAGTTTTGGCTATATTTCTTTAGTTTGTTTTATCTTTAATATTTTTTCATAAAAGCCTAGGTAGTTATACAAAAAACATCATATAAATCCCCTACTTAAACTTTGCACAAAAATTATTAAAAAAAATTTGGTATGCAATTTTGTATCCCATTAAATTTCAGTATAAAAAAGTGGCAGTTTGGATTGGCTACAAAATACCGTTAATTTTTAAGATTTTTTTTTGCTGACGGTGTCACGCATTTCTTCCCACACACAGTGTGTTTTCGAAAATTTTTTTATATGGAAGAGAATGCCTAGCATCGTCAACAAAAAAAAAAGTAAAAAATCAACGGCATTTTCTAGCCGCTTGAATCTCACACTTTATTACACTAAAATTGACTACAATTGGCTGCAAAGCTGCATACCAAAATTTTTTCTAAAAATTCTAAATAAAAAGTTTGAAACTTTTGTGCAAACTTGTAAAATTTTTTAAATTTTTGTTCAAAGTTTAAAAAGCGGATTTATATGATGTTTGTTGTATAACGACCAAGGCTTTTATAAAAAATATTAAACATAAAATAAACTAAAGAAATATAGGCAAACCTCTTCAAAGTAAGGCGAGTATATTATTTCTGCCACCACTGTGTGTGTATCAGTTTATCAATTTCTACCAAACTCGGCACATTTATCAACCTTGACGTAAAAAAGCAATAATGAAAATTTTTGAAATCGGGCTAAAATTACCGCCACTTACCATATAACGGTAAATTTCACAAATACTTTAACTCCGATATTTCAATAACTAAAGACGCCAACTTACAACGATTTCTTAACAAGACACAAGTTTATTGATTTTTGTAAAATGGGCGTGGCACCACCCACTCATAACTACATAAATGTATATCTATAACCGCCTTATCGTTTTCCAACAAACTTGGTCCAATTTTTTCAATATATCATAGCATATTATCGAAACTGTTTGACATCGGGAAAAATACTCTTGCTTATCATGCAGTTTACTGAAGAGTGAACAAAACCATATTTAATACGTGCCCGGGGTATATATAATGTTCGGTTTCGCCCGAAACTTATACATCTTTACTTATTTTCGAGTCTGGTTCAATATACGTACATATTTACAGTATTATTCATACATGCGATTAAATTAATAACTTTTTAAATGAATGGCTCAATATTATTGATAACCGCCTAATACTTAAAATTTTTTTTCGAATAGCAATTATTTCATTAAATTTTAATAGCCTTATTAATTACAAAGAACAAGTAGGTGTGTTAAGTGTTAAGAATTGTTCAGGTTGTCTACTGCTTTTGCTGCATCACAGTTGTGGCAAAAACGTACTATGACTCGCTACACTCCACTACATTACGCCTATAATTAATTGCTACTTATTTTTTGTTCTTTCTTTCCAACATCTCATCTTACCACCTTCAACACGCTGGCCTCCAATTACCTGCGAACTTGTTGCACTACACATTTCCGCTATGATTGACTGCTGTTCAATAATTATCATCGTTGGTTGCCTGTACTGTACTGCGCACTACATACATACTTATGTACATATGTACGTGTTCATCTTCGTTGCCGTCGCCATCGCTGTTGCATTCGTAAATGTACGGACTTTTCATTTAAATGTCATCATCATTGTCATCCAGCACGGAGGAGGCTTTGCTGCGCTATATAATTGATTCGATTTTTCTTTTTGCATTCATGTTGGCGCTGATTTTTCACAGTCATCAAACGGAGGCCACTTATCGTCTAGATTTCATTTGGAAATTACAAGCCACAGGTGAGTCGAATGAACAAATATGCGACAAAATAATTACTATATGTTGTAAAAGAATAACACTAATTTGTAAAAGCTTTTTCGTATTTCTGCATTTTTCCTTTGTTTGCAATTCTTTGTTGAGTCAAAGTAATTGCTGCAGCGGCGAATATACGAAAGGTGTGCAGCAGGGCGTATGCGCAACCTAAGTTTGTACTTAGTTAGCACGTAGAAGTTTTAACTTTTATTTTAACAGCTGTAACTAAAATCAAACTTTTAAAGCAACTAGCTATCGTGCATACTAAAAAGTTTAACTATTTTGGATTTTTTTTCTTTGTCTTTGGCTTTTTTATTTTACATAAACGCATCAATTAGTGGTGGTCAGGGGCGCACCCAGGAATATATTTTAGGGGGGGTTTTATATTTCTGAAGATATATCACCGGAAAATACTGAAAATTTGCTTCAGATAATACCCTTTTAAAATACATTTGTGCAAGTTTTATGTACAGTATGTAATAAATAAATAAACGTTTTAAAATTCATAAACTGCACTTTATTTACAGATTAACAGAACTCAAACGCTTTTAACCGACTTCAAAAAAAAGGGAGGTTATCATCTCGCCGGAATACATAACTTTGGGCCACGTGAACCGTTTTCAATAATCCTTTTTTTATTAGAAAGATAGTACCTCAAGGTTCGTCCCGTAATTTGTTTTAGAGATCCGATGATTGGATCATGAAGAAATTAGCGGTACCCCTAAATTTGAATATGAGAATTGAAGTCGGTTGTGTTCTTTCCTTAAAAACTACTTGTTTAATAAAAAGTTCTATAAACTCAAGATGCGCTCAACTTTCAAAAGTACCTAATAAAAAATTTAAAAAAAGAGGCAGTAAAATTAAATTTATTGATTCCATGAATTTTTGCACTTCTATGTTCATTTTTTCGATTTCTGGTTTTCGATAGAGATGGTGATTTTTTACGATTGCTAAATTTTTTTTTATATTTCAAATACCGAAAAAATTAACTGAACTCTCAAGAAAAACCCCAAAACCCACCCCCTGTGTGCGCTAATGGTGGTGGTATTCTCTGCCAGCTCTTTGGAATTGACTCAAGTTTTGCGCATAACGTAATTTCACACAGAAACTGAAGAAAATTGCTTAAATATTTTTTTCTTAAAAATTATTGGCGTGACAAAAATAGTAAAAGAATCAAGAATCTGAATGATTTTTCCAGCAAAATACCTTTGGCCTTGGTTTGTAATTCTTATAATTATACCATGTCTCCATAAATATATTTGATGTTCACATTTTCAAATATTTGACGGATAGGCAACGGGAAATGCACTTAGAGTATAATCGCGTCAGGTAGCACGACAAATTAAAGGGCATATTTGTTAAAAATAATCGACAAAATAAATCTTTATCATTACTGGCTTCTTATTTGTGATAAGAATGCGTTAAAGAAAAATTTTCGAAATGGAAATGTACAACAGTTGCTTAAAGAAACGTTTATTGAGATCAGTTGGAGAGCTGGGTTTATGGTTTCTTAAGATTAAACTGAAGAACATCCCACCGAAGGCTTGTGGAATATCACGAAGCCATTGGTCTTTGTTGAGTCAATTTGAATACTGGCTAAAGTTTGGTGCAACGATATTGAAGCATAACCATTGCCACATTTTTTAAATTTAATGTCACAGCAGGTAAAACATGTTATGCTCTACACGATATTAACTAACATGGGACCTATCAATCTATATATTTTTTGCAATTTGAAGTAAATTGAAAATTTTAAACGTTTCTACTGAAAAATTCCCTTTTTTGAATTGTGACAGTCTTATATGTACATATGTATGCAGTAAATAGGTGATTTGCGTATTTAGAAAGCGTAATTTTTTCATTAACTTCTTAAAAATTCATCTGGAAAATAAGAAAGTGCATGATTTCTTAATTGTTTTGTTTTCAATATTCTTAACGCTATGTTTAAAAGTCTTTCGTAAGACAATTATCAATTCCAGCATCTATCTTAAAAGCTCTTTTCTGTATTTTGAAAGACGAATTGAAAGATTTGCTAGCGGGAAGATCTTAGCGTTATTCTGTGTGTTTTTAACCCTCTACGGCATATGAAACCAAATATGGTGTTACTACTTTAGCAATTTTTCATCACCCTATATTTCTTTGCGAAATAATATTAACAAAAAAAAA